AGCGCACTGACCACCAGGGGGTAGCTCCTGTGTTGAGTGTCTGCCCCCTGGTGGTCAGTGCACATCATAGAGACTGGTTGTTCTGGTTGTGCTGGTCATTTGATCATAACAGTCATTTAGGCTTTTATATATATAGTTCATCATATTAACTGCTTAGTGGAAGATGGTACTTAAGTGACACATACCTCTGCTGTGGATCATATTGCTGAATGGCACTTACCCCATAGCCCATCTGTCCAGACAGGTGTTTGTATACACAACTCTGATGATACCATGCAGACTATGTTCCAGGAACTGCTCCCTTTAATCCTTAGTGGCAGTCTGTTATGTTACCACTAGCATGTATTAGAGGAGCTCATTCAAGGATCACTAGAGGCTCCAGTTGGAGAAACCACATTAATAATGATTCTGACAGATGTGGAGTTTGAACTCCTTGGTAATTACTACTCCACCAAACCAACTGAGTCTCAGGACTGCAATGAAAAAGAAACAATCTTCCATGTATAATGGCTTTCACACTGCATGATACTATTAAAAAGCCATCATTAGCTACTAATGCACGCACTACCCATTTCCAAAATCTTTTCTCAGCCAATAAATTAAAGACCAAGAATGATCAATGAGTGAGTCATCAGCATGAAAATTGTTGGTATAGGACTTGCAAATTGAAATTATTCAGAATGATTTAAATGCATAAGGTTTTATTATAGATGAAGATATTGCACTGATATTAAAAGATTTTCTTGCATAAGGCCCAGAGTTGATTTTTTTTTGCATCTACCTGTTATGGATTAGAAAAAAGAAAATTCTGTTCATGGAATGCCTTGGAAACATAAAACAGAGGTGTGGGGCAATTTTTCAGGTGCTGTGCTGGGCGCTGGGGATATAATGATAAGACAATGTAGCCCCTGTTCTAAACCAACTCACAGATTTAGAAGGGGGTGGCAGATAGCACACACACACACAAATCACAATGCAGTGTGGTAACTACAGTAATCAAAGTGTATGCCTGGTACGTGATAGCACAGAAGAGTGTAGCTTGTAGGAGAGATTTGAGAAGGGGGAAGGAAATCTGCTTAAGAATCTCCAACTTCCTAAGTTAGGACTTTTCATTCTCCCCTCTTGGAAGTCATATTCTTTCCTCTCTCATATCTCAAAATGTTCCTATCACAGAGGCGTAAGAAAGATGGTTACTACAAAAGGACTGCAGGGCTAGTAACTATCATGGAGAAAACAAACTTATGCTACGCTTTTTAAAGATTTAGCTACTTTAGATACATACTTTTTTTTTTAAGCTTTTAAACAAGACATGAAGATGTGGACTGACTTCTTATAGGCCATGTTTCTTCCACATCACAGCACTCCTATGCCTCTACTGGTGTTCCTGTTTCATCAGGAAAGGTTTACATCAGACTGAGGTTTTAGGGGAAGACAGATTCCTAACTGGGTTCCTCCTCTTCATATAATTTAAAAACAGCTGCAACCAAATCACAAGTTGGTTAGCCCAGTAATGCTGCCTTTAACTTGATGGGTTTTTCTGTTAATGGGTTAGTACACAGATACAATGTTAAGAAATACATGACTGAAAATACTTAACACTGCATGGCTCACATTCATCTCAATCTCTCTCTATTTTTATTGAAGTAAAATTTACATGACACAAAATTCGCAATTTTAACCATTGAAAGTGTACAATTCAGTGGCTTTTACTACAAGTATCATATTGTATAATCACCAGCACTGTCTAAATGGGAATGTTTTCATTATCCCCCAAAGAAATCTTATCTCCAATAGGCAGCAATTCCTCATTCCCTCTCCCCCTCAGCCTGCTGAGCTGCTTTGTCTCTAGGAACTTGCCTATTCTGGACATTTAACATAAATGGAATCATGCAATATATATGTCCTGGCTGGCATCTTTCACTTTGCAAATGTTTTCAGGGTTCATCTATGCTGTAGCATGTATTGGTACTTCATTCCTTTTTACTGATCCATTCATTGGATGAATATTTGACCTCTTTAACGATCATGAATAGTGCTGCTATGAACATTCAAGTGCAAGTTTTTGTTCAAACATTTGTTTTCAATTGGGGGAGAGGGGGACTTATAAATACCTATAAGTGGAATTGTTGGGTCATATGGCAATTTTATGTTTAACTTTTTGAGGAATCCTCACACATTCTAAAGCTACTGCATCATTTTATTTTTATTCTCACCAACAATATAGAAGGGTTCCAATTTCTCCACGTGCTTGACAACATTTGTTATTTTCTTAAGTATATAATAGCCAACCTAGTGGATGTATAGTGCTATCTCATTATCAATCTTATTTCATGGATACTAATTCATCATAAAAACCACTCAGAAACAAACAAACAAAAAAACATGCTCATATTAGCTCTTAAGTTTTCTTCTTTTATATATGAGGCTACCACTAAATTGAAAGCTTTCCCTAAGATGAGCTGCAAAGTGAACATAGGAGATTCTGAACAACAGAAATGTTTTATCTGTTCCCATCACCCACTTCCCATAGCAACCATAATTAACACCCAGGTGTCCAAATGATGACTGTTGAAATATCAGCCCCCTGAGGAATTGCCAGGTGTCTTTAGTCAGTGATTGCCAAGGAGGCATCTAAAACACTATAAGGCTTGGCTACTATAAAAGTTCTATGGTGGGGTGGGGTGGGGGGGAAGAGCCACTTTTAAAACCTGATGAACATTCATTTTTTCCCCCTCCATATGTGCTATATTTTAAAAAATATAATAATATACAATTAACCACCAACTCCACATTCCATTTTAGATAAAGTAATTTGTTTAGATAAAGCTCTGAGTTAAATAGATTGAGCCATATGAAATATCAAATTCCTTCCTAGCACATTTCTCATTAATAATTCAGTGGTCCACAGCACATATTCCTGAGAGTCTGTCGTTTATTTTATCATTAATTGTTATAACCAAAAAAAACACTGCCAAAGCTATTCTTCTCCTTGCTGGAGCACTTAGTTTTGAGAACTAAAACACATATGCAAATTATTACCCTTACCCTAATAAAGCAAGGGGCAATAGGAATTGTACCCCCATCCCCATTTCTGCATCCATTTCTGCATCCTGGACTGTGGCACAAAGGTACACATAGCCTCCTGTGGAGTTTAGTTCTGCTTGCTTGCCTCCCCTTAGTGAAAACTGTATGGACAGGAGGAAAAGCTGAGACTCAGCTCCGTGGGTGCCCTCTGGTTGAGGGGAGGTGGAACAGGAAACTGGAGACAAAGCTAAAGCTAAAGCTTCAAAGAGGCCCGCACTCGGTGGCTGCTGGTCAGCCTTGGGAACCTGCGCGATCCATGTGAAGACTTTCAGGGATATTGAAAAGGAATAGGGGAGCGCTACCTAGGACTGAAAGGATTGGAAAGCCAAAGGGAGCCTAGACTAGAGATGGCTGGAAGTCCCAGAAGTGGCTAGAAATCATGGTAATTGAACTGCCCGCCCCCAGGATCATTCAGTTCCCAAAGGAAGTAGGCGAGCGTTAGACTGTCCTGCATCGATTTTGTGTCTTATAGGTTTAGGCATATAGGTTGAAGCCGGGTCTTACGTCCAGGGGCCTGCTCAGAAAAGGCCGAAATCCTAGTATTTCTACGGAAAGACTCCAAGGCCATTGTTCCATTCCGGGAGTTGATGACCAAGCGTGATCACCTGCACAGCCAGCCCTTCCTGACTGTAGGGGAGCTACCATCCCAGGCCTCTGCGCTCTCCGCCCCAGGCGGCCCGCCAGCTCTCCGGGGTGCAAAGTCCAGCAGGGCTGCGGGCGGAGCCTTCCCTGGCGGCGCAGCCTATCTCTCCCCAGCAAACACCCACATGGATTTCCAATGCCGCGTCTGGCACCTTCTGGAGAGTGCCGCGGGCAGTCGATATTCCCCTGGGAGACGCAGGGCGCTCTGGGCACCACACGCTGTAAAGGAGATTGGCGATGGTGCACCCAGGGCCTTGCACACCCCGCCAGCGAAGAGCTGCCTGCGGTGATGTAACCAGAAGCCCCAAACGCAGGCTTGTCGCCCCTACTCCCAAGGCCCCGGCTTAGGGTCAGTGTCCGAGACTCCTAGAGCATCCGCCTAGGTGCGGGAGTTGGGGTCCTTCCCAGAGAAAGGAGTTGAGCCTCACGGAGCGCGTCGCCGCGCTGCCAGGCTGCACGGGCACCTTGCACGGCGGCTCCGCGTGGGCCCGGAGGCGGCGCCCAGGTGAGCGGGGCTGGGCGCTTCCGCGGGGGTCTGGGCGGCGGGACCAGCGGGCGGGAGGTGGGGCTTGGGTCCTTGGACGATCGGACCCCAGTGGAATAAGGGCTCCCTTAGGGCGGGGCGCACCTGAGCGTCACTGAGAGGAACTCCAGACACCTACCCTGCCTGGGGTCCGCTTCAGTCTCTGCCTTGGATAGGGGCCGGGTCAAGGGGCAGAATCTACACCTTTGGCTCCCACCCACCCTCCAGAAAGGCGGAGAAACTCTGCAGGTCCCGGCGAGGGGTGGATAAAAGGTGCTGCAGGGCAGCCCGAGAGGGGGAGGGGGGATTAAAAAAAAAAAACAACTACTCGGATTCAACCGAGCGCGGGATTGGGAAACGTACAACATGGGGAGAGGCGATGAGCCTCCTATATAGCTTTCTCTCTCTCTCTCCCCCTCCCCTTCCCTTTCGTAGCTGCTGACGCGCTGGTGGCGCTTATTAATCATTCACCAGCCCGGAGCGCGCCAGTTAATGGCTGTGCGGCTCGGCTCTGGTCTCCGGCTTCCCCTCTCGGCGCCAGCGAGCGGCCGGGCGCCCGGGGCGGCCAGAGGGGCCATGCGCCCCGCGGGTGGGAGCCGCGCTCCCCGCAGCCGCCGTGCGCTCCCCTCCGGCGCCGGGCGGCGGTGAGCGGGCGGACGGCCAGGGCGCTGAGTGAGGGCGCGAGCGGCGGGGCCCGAGAGAACCCCCCAGCCCCGGCGGCCCCACGGCCGGTCCCCCACCCGCGGCAGAGATGTTCCCCAATGGCACCGCCTCCTCCCCCTGCTCTCCCGGCCCCGGCGCGGGCAGCTGCGGCGAAGGCGGCGGCGGCAGGGGCCCCGGGGCCGGCGCCGCGGACGGCATGGAGGAGCCGGGGCGCAACGCGTCCCAGAACGGGACCCTGAGCGAGGGCCAGGGCAGCGCCATCCTCATCTCCTTCATCTACTCCGTGGTGTGCCTGGTGGGACTGTGCGGGAACTCCATGGTCATCTACGTGATCCTGCGCTACGCCAAGATGAAGACGGCCACCAACATCTACATCCTGAACCTGGCCATCGCCGACGAGCTGCTCATGCTCAGCGTGCCCTTCCTGGTCACCTCCACGCTGCTCCGCCACTGGCCCTTCGGCGCGCTGCTCTGCCGCCTCGTGCTCAGCGTGGACGCGGTCAACATGTTCACCAGCATCTACTGCCTCACCGTGCTCAGCGTGGACCGCTACGTGGCCGTGGTGCACCCCATCAAGGCGGCGCGCTACCGCCGGCCCACCGTGGCCAAGGTGGTGAACCTGGGCGTGTGGGTGCTCTCGCTGCTGGTCATCCTGCCCATCGTGGTCTTCTCGCGCACGGCGGCCAACAGCGACGGCACGGTGGCCTGCAACATGCTCATGCCCGAGCCTGCCCAGCGCTGGCTCGTGGGCTTCGTGCTGTACACCTTCCTGATGGGCTTCCTGCTGCCCGTCGGGGCCATCTGCCTGTGCTACGTGCTCATCATCGCCAAGATGCGCATGGTGGCCCTCAAAGCCGGCTGGCAGCAGCGCAAGCGCTCCGAGCGCAAGATCACGCTGATGGTGATGATGGTGGTGATGGTGTTCGTCATCTGCTGGATGCCCTTCTACGTGGTGCAGCTGGTGAACGTGTTCGCCGAGCAGGACGACGCCACTGTGAGCCAGCTGTCCGTCATCCTGGGCTACGCCAACAGCTGCGCCAACCCCATCCTCTATGGCTTCCTGTCGGACAACTTCAAGCGCTCCTTCCAGCGCATCCTGTGCCTCAGCTGGATGGACAACGCCGCGGAGGAGCCGGTGGACTACTACGCCACGGCCCTTAAGAGCCGCGCCTACAGCGTGGAGGACTTCCAGCCCGAGAACCTGGAGTCCGGCGGCGTCTTCCGCAACGGCACCTGCACGTCCCGGATCACCACTCTCTGAGCCGGGCCCCCTGGGGTGAGGGGGAGGGAGATTGGGAGGAGGAGGACCGAGGGAGGCCGCCGGGTTTGAGAGGTGAAAGGACCCCGGGGGTCTGAGGGTGGTGTGGCCAAGTGGGGCTAGGACACGTGGGCGCGCTCTGGTCTTGGGGTGAAGAGACTGGGAAAGGAGAGCGGCGAAGGCGGGACTGAGTTGTGTTTTTTGTTGTTGTTTGTTTTGTTTTGTGTTTTTGCTTGTAAGCTGGAAGGCTCGCGAGCCCCCTCCTCGGCTCTCCCGCCTTCCTACGCCGCGGCTGCACTTCTGCATCCTCTGCGCTTCCCGCTCTGTAACTTGGCGCTCTCCTTCCGCCCAGTCCCGCCGGTGCCGATCGCGAACTCTTTAACTCCGTTTCCAACTCAGGCCGCCAGCCAGCCGCGCTTTCAGTTTGTGTAAGCCCAGCCCCGGCTTTCCCCAAGGGTGAGGCCCAGCCGGCCTTCCAGCCCCGCCCCGCCGCGCCCCTGCGCTGGCCAGAGCCGACCCGGTGCCCCCAGCGAGGCCTGGAGCGGCCGCTCTCCCCTCCGCATGGCCCTCCTCGCAGGGCGCCCGGGGGCTGGAGAGTGAACCAGGCAGCCGGCCCTTCCTCCTGCTCTGCGGCGCCCTCCAGCCCCTTCGCCTCTCCCACTTCAGATCACAGCCAGGTGCTTAGTGAAATCCGTCCGGCGCAGGGATCCCCACGCATAGCGCGGCTCCCTTCCAAACCCCTCTCTGCAGCCCAAAGGAGCGGAGCACAAGGACCCAGGTTGGGGACAGGAAGAGGGATTGTCGTGGAAGCCACCGCCTCCAGCCCTGCGGACCACCGGGCTTTGGGTCTCAAAGACCGACACTCTTGGGCGCTGGTCTGCCTTAGGCCACCGGGGGCAGGGCGGACTTCCCCCCACCCCCATAGGGCCCATCGGGAGCGTGGCTGCAGCTACACTAGGTTGTATCCCTCTCCCAAACATCAGAGGTGCAGCTCTAAGAGTAGCCACAGACTCAGTTTCCTGCTCCGGCTTATCTCTGAGACAGAACCCTGGGTCTGGGACCTCTGGTGCCGCCCACAGACCCTGCCTTTCCCCGCTGTGCCGCCGCCACCTGCAGGCTAGAGAGTGTTGCCCCTTTCAAGCGGTGCCTAATAAGTTATGTACTTGTTTAAGGTATTTATTTATTTATTTCTGATGTTTGGAAATTTCTCTGCTTTCCTTTTCTCTTTGCCAAGCCCAGTGCTCCCCCTCCCCATCCCCCCCATTACACTGAGGGTGAAGTGTGTGTGTGTGTGTGTGTGTGTGTGTGTGTGTGTCTAAAGCTTTCTCAAAACCTTTCCTCTTTGCTGGGTCCTCTTTTATTATCCTTTTCCAGCCTTTCTATTTTTGCTTGTATCAGTGAGTTTGGAGATTTTGTAATAGTTTTCTTATATAGTCTCTTGTTTGTCTTATAATAAATAAACGATCATGTGAGTTAGCCTCCCCTCATGCAGAGTGAAGGTCCTGTACTCCTTGCTTTCAACGTCACCTTGTATATGATTTGGATATGCATAATATATATTTACACATTATATATATTTGTTTATCTTGCTCCATTGTCATAAAATAGTCCATAAAATAGCTCCCAAACAGAGCCACTAACAATGACAGGTGTAAAGCTGGCTGAAACACTTTCAGATAAGAGGGTCCAAGCATCACTCAAACTTGGAACTCAGAAGTCTGGTTCAGATAGACTTGATCCAGGTTGAGGGCGTGGTGAGGGCTGTACCTCAGCCGCTGCTTCCTCCAGTTTTCAGCATGGGTGAGTCTAACACACAGTCTAGCTCACATCATTATTCTTTTAAAGACATTGGAAATTGAGTGATTTGTGTCTACGTTTAATCTTACAAACTACATTGGAAGCCTAAGCAGGGCAAGGACCAATATTTTTACTTCTTTGTACTCCTGTATTGTTTTAGTATCCTGGCTTGTACATAGTAGGCACTAGATACATGTTTGCTGGGTGAGTGCTTAAGTTAGCCAGAGTGCATTACAATGATCAACCGGGAGGTGGTAGGTCAGGGCCTACCATTGACACGATACACAATGGTTGAGATCACTCTGGAAAAATATGTTTCTATATATTTGCTTCAAGAACATTGTGCTTTCCTGAAAGCAGTAACCAAGAGTTCAAATGCCCCTTATGTTTAGTTTAAACTAATTAACAAATATGCTTTTGGTTCTAAATCAGAAAGTTTCATTCTGACCCTTAATAATAATATATATTATTATTCTTTTGAAAAATAGATTTTTAAAATATCTTTATTGTTGAAAGTAATACATATGTACTCTTTCCCCCCCATTGACCCCTTCTAGCCTGCCCCCATTCCGGCCCTCAGCCTTCACTACCCTACTGTCTGTGTCCAAGGGTTATGCATACAAGTTCTTTGGCTGCTATCTTCCCACCCACCCACCCTCTGAGATTTGATAGTCTGTGGAAAATAAGTTTTTAATTGGTTACGAACAGTGAAATTTACAAATCAAAATCTTGATCATTAACCTCTTAAGAAGATACAAATCTATGCTCTTAACCTGTTACCATTGTAATATTAACCAAATAAACAAATGTGTTATGTTGTTTCAAGTTGTCTTACTTTGCCATTTGAATTTTACTATTTCAACCTATTATCTAAACACACACACACACACACACACACACACACACACACATTGGCTGAGTTGCTTTATGTTCCATGTAGATTTTTAAGAAGAAAGATTTCAGATTACCTTTGGACATTTCTACCAAGATTAAGGTTACACCTTGAAATATATTTTTTAAGAAAAGTCTATTCACTTTGAGAGGAGAAACAAACTTTGAGTGATATGAATTGGAAGCACTGTACTAGGTTACACTCTCTATGCTTTTCTGTTGTCACCAAACTAACTACCAGATATTTCAATTTCTCAGAGATTAATTGTTGTCTGCCCACATTTACAGCCTCACACTTTGTTGTGGGAGCTAAATAATTGCTGATTTACATCCCAGGGAAAGATCATGTAAAGAAAAGAGAAAAGTTTGCCTAAAGGTGTTACAGGGGGCAATGGGTAAAATAAATAGAAAAATTAGATTTCAACCTAAGAGAAGAAAGCTGTATTTATGCTTCACTCAAGAATGGTCATTTCCATCCCTGAAAGAATTTTTAAGAAAGTACTAGGAGAGTATCTTTTAAAAAACAGACTTAAAAGGCTTCTTAGAGCAGTTTTCATAGCAAAGTGATTGGAATGGAGTGTCTTCAGGGCAGACAATATAATTGATTCCAGAAACAGCGGTGGGGGTGGGGGTGCAGTTGTGTATGTTTCAAATACCTTCAAATGTCCTGTAACTCTAGGCTTTGTGCTTTTACACATTCCCTAAACATGAATAAAGGTAGCTGGACTTTTGTCTTTTCTTATTATTTTTAAAAATATTTTTTATTAATTTTTTACAGAGAAGAAGAGAGAGGAATAGAGAGTTAGAAACATTGATGAGAGAGAACCATCAATCAGCTGCCTCTTGCCCGCCCCCTGCTGGGGATGTGCCTGCAACCAAGGTACATGCCCTTGACCTGAATTGAACCTGGGACCTTTCAGTCCGCAGACCAACACTCTATCCATTGAGCCAAACCAGTTTTGGCCTTTTCTTCTTCTTATTTTTTTTTAAATATATATTTTATTGATTTTTTACAGAGAGGAAGGGAGAGAGATAGAGAGCTAGAAACATTGATGAGAGAAAAACATTGATCAGCTGCCTCTTGCACACCCCCTACCCGCAACCAATGTACATGCCCTTGACCGGAATTGAACCTCGGACCTTTCAGTCCACAGACCGATGCTCTACCACTGAGCCAAACCAGTTTCAGCCTTTTCTTATTATTTTTAAAAGCTAAAGCAAGGTGGCAAATTGAGCTTATACCTTAGATGTGCAGAAAAACACTTGTTATTTTGGTTTTAACTAATCTAAACATTATCCCAAGCCCCTTCTAACTAGCTAGTTGGGAGAAAAAATATTAAATAGATATTCAAACATCCAATTGAACTGATCACTTAAATAGCCATTTTCAAAATTCTATTTAAATCAATTTAGACAGTCTCTTGCTGGCCTCACCCCTGAGGAAGGGTTAGAGGGAAGGGGAGGAGGCTTTATACATCCTAATGCAGAAGGGGATGCGGTGGGGACCGAGAAAGGGGCCTTTCTGCCTTCTGTTCTCTGGACACCGGGGTGATTCCTGGCTGCAGTTTGTTGAAATCCGGAGCTGTGATAACCTCTCAGCGTGGTGAGGGCTGTACGTCAGCTCCTATGGTCTTCCCTGCCCCATACAGCCACCTGGTGGCTTACCCAGACTCCACCAGGAGTGACCTCACCCTGCTGCAGGCAGCCCTGTGGGAGCCTCTTGGCTCAGCGACTAGAAGGGACCTAGGGTAGCTCTAGACTGGTGACCCTCAGGATCTCCTCTGACTGAGATACATTTCTGCAGCTCTGGCATAAGTCTTTTGTCTCTCTCCTTACCTTTGTCAACTTCTCTTATTAAAAGCATCCCACAAGCCCCACATTTCATTTGCATAGAGGAAAGACTTAAATCTTGGCCTAAGTTGTGCTAAAGTAGGAAAAAAGGATTTAGCAAATTTCTGTGCAACCCCATTCCCGCTGCTCCAGCTGATTTCCAAGGCTTTTAGTTTTGCTTAGCATTTAAGGACAAACCCTCTCCTATCCTTAGGTGATGATCCTCCTCAGGGTGAGAGACTACAATGAAACATGACTTACCAATTAAGTTAAATTGTATCTGTTCAGTGTCTATGAACTATTATGTCTTACTGGTGACCTCTGTGTTCCCAGGATACAATCTTCTCACACAATACCCCCAAAAGGATTATGTTGGGAACTTTGATGGCTCCTCCAACTCAACCCTGATTATTGTACGAAATGCCAAACATATGGTTTTGGCCTGAAAAAGAAGGTAAGGAGTACTCTTGGAGAATATTATGGAT